ATGTATTAAATCTTATATGTAATGCTCTATGGAATTAATACAAATTTGGCTATTTCAATAGATCGAGAACGACGTGATCCGAAAAAACGAATCAAAATTTATTGTAAAGTGCATGTTAAGAATACTGCAAAGACTTACGCTCGAATTATCATCGATGTAAAAGACTAAACTATGCCCGAGGATAAAAGTGAGAAAAATATATTTCGTTCTAAAAATACTTCATACTCAAGATATGAATACTCGGAATATTTTGTCCAGTTCTGCTTCCAATAATTGAAATTATTCTTATTAAACAATTCCAACTCCATGAAGTAATGAATATAAATCATGTAAGAGTTATCTCGTAATATCGATTATTCTTACAATCATGAAATAATCGAAAATATGCGAATGATTTATACAATACAGTAATAATATAATACATACAAAAATACACAATGCAGGATTTTATATAGTTGACATAAATTAAACAATTGATCTTAGAAAATTCAAACTCAGTCATATGAACAGACCTATTCATTATCTTACCAATACATAAGATCATTTTTTATTTTATTATACATATGAATCAAATCGAATGATTATTATATTTATCAATTTTGATCGCAAGAAAACGATTCTATGATGAATAAATATATCTCAGAGAGTAAAGTATATATTCTCACATTTGATCTGTAGGAAAAAAAACCTTTTACATAATTATTACTTTTTCATTGTTATTTAGTCTTTCAAATATTGTCTTGCATAGACAGATATAAATTATTCATAGAAACACTCATTAATTTCTGCGCACAAATAACTTATCATTTCTGATGCATTCTCAAACACTTTCAAATATTTGAATTTAAGTAAACAATAAATCATTTTATTGTAGAAAAGAATCTATCTTCAAGAGTCAATCACATAAGAATATTGTCAATTTATTAATTACAATAATGAATAATATTTTTCTACAAAATAATTTCTAAAGAAAAAAAAAATAAGAGTAAATGAAATTAACAAAAATAATATCTAAATAGTATAGAAATTGAAAGAAGTGATTAGCTTAACTTCTTATATGTGTATTCAAAAATGACTTCTGTAAACAGTTGAGTATGAGTATAAAACTATCCGTCGTATCTCGTACAGTCAAACTACGCATTAAATCATTCTCCATTTGCTGATTAAAAATACTTTTTTTATATATTTATAACAGAATCATTTATTGATCATTCAGATAAATTTAAGCATATGCCTTTTCATACTGATAAGTTGTTTTTATATTTTTAATCATAATATTATTGTTTGTTTATGTATACTAAAATGTCAGTTAGGAATAACTATAGAAACTGTAGTCAACAGTTTTGTTTTTCAATATATTGTGTTTTTTTATAGTTGACTAATCAAGAAGTTATTCCAATATTTTTTTTTCTGTATATGAATATCGAAGATGATTTCTCATTGAACAGTTAATTACTAAATATGAAATTCTAATCTTTATTTAGCTATCGTTATGTCTTACTAAATATGAATCCTAAACTATATATGTCGACTTATGTTTATTCATTTATATGAAATGTGAAAATATCTAATTATTTAATATAAAAAAGATATAGTTTTGTCCTTCGCACACAACAGAATATTTGATATAAATCGAAGAATATCAGCGCAAAGATTACATGGATGAATATTGTCATTTTTTATATTTCGGAAATATGAAACAAAAGAACTAAAATATCTTTCTATTTAGACGGACTATTACTGATGAAATCTATTGACCCGTATATACAAAAAAGTGCTATTCGAATAAAATATGCATATGAAGGAGAAGTAGTATGATATTTTCAGAAAAAATATGTAAACTGTGACAAAAACAACTATTACTTAAAAAGATTACTAATATATTTTTGTTTGCATACTTGATGATCTGTTTTTAACAATGATTAAATTTTTTTTTGGAGAGTAAAAAATATAGAAAAAGAGAGAGAGAGAGAGAGAGAGAGAGAGAGAAATATATATTTTGCATCTTGGAAAACAACTGATGTTAGTAGTTAAAACATTACTTTGAGAGAAGGATGACTTTTCTCAAGTTAGTTTTAACGATATTTTTCTTGATTTACTATGGTAAGTTTATTAGTTTAATAGAGACTATATCTATATCAATTAAAACTTTAGTGAGTGTTGTTACAAATGCGGATAGCTTATCCCAATTTAACAATTTTACAATCCAATGGCAAAATTTTAGTATATTTACATGTGCACAACCAGCTGAGCTAGATGTATCATCGTTAAGTTGTGTATCTACTACGTATCTCAATATAGATTATTTATCATGTTTGGAAGAGACAACTATTGATTTCAATGGCTATACTTGTCCAGTTACGACAACATCAACGGTAACTTCTAAAAAAATTCTACCATTTATCAGAACTAATTTTGTCCTTGATAGAAACGCAGTAATATTTCACCAAAAAAAAGCATAGTATCATATAGTTTATAACGAAGAAAATCTAGTGAAATCTTAATTTAGAAAAAGCGTTTTACTCTAATTGAACTTTTGACAGTCATAAAATAAATAACAAATTCAAATTTGAGTATTAGTTTTAATTATATTGCAGAGCCACAAGAAAAATTAGTCTTAACCAAATTCTTTCTAATTTTTAGTCAAAAATAGTTGAATAGAGTAATATTCCAATAAAGTGAGATAAAATCCTAAAATCTCTAACTTTTCAAACATTTCATTGTGCCTTTCATTATCTCACCCTCTCTTACATATAATTTATTAATAAAAATAAAAAAACACCAAATGAATTTAATGCACCAATTCATTCTTTTTCTTTTACATAGACGACAACTACGAGTACTACATCAAGTAGCAGTACTACCTCAAGTAGCAGCACTACCTCAAGTACCAGTATTTCACAAACCACCAGTACTACATCAAGTACTAGTACCACATCAAGTACTAGTGATACGTCAAGTACTAGCACTACACCTAGTACTACATCGACTAGTAGTACCACAACACATACTCATACTTCAAAAACTACCAGTACTACATCCAGTACTAGTACTACATCGAGTACTAGTGCTA